GGGAAGGGAAGGGAAGGGAAGGGAAGGGAAGGGAAGGGAAGGGAAGGGAAGGGAAGGGAAGGGAAGGGAAGGGAAGGGAAGGGAAGGGAAGGGAAGGGAAGGGAAGGGAAGGGAAGGGAAGGGAAGGGAAGGGAAGGGAAGGGAAGGGAAGGGAAGGGAAGGGAAGGGAAGGGAAGGGAAGGGAAGGGAAGGGAAGGGAAGGGAAGGGAAGGGAAGGGAAGGGAAGGGAAGGGAAGGGAAGGGAAGGGAAGGAAAATAGAGGAGTAGAGGCCGTGCATGAGCACATGGAGAAAGAGGGGAGAGGAATGGGGAGAGAGGGGGAAGGGGACAAGAGGACAGAGCTGGAGCAAGAAGGCAAGAGAGTAAGAGAGAGCTGAATGGGTAAGCAGCCCCTTTTGTAGTTGCTTCAGGCGTACCTGGCTGTTGCTGGGTAACTGTAGGGCGGAGCTTAGACAAAATGCTAACATTCCCCCATTTTGGTCTAATTACAAAAGAAAAGATTTGAAAGAGGTGATGGTGGAGCAGGAATAGAGTAGTCACGATCTTTAGCTAATTCCTACTGACTTTGGGGTGACATGACTCTAGGAAACCTAGGAAAACAGGTATGGGAATGTTGGTCTAGTCTTAGGAGAGCTGGCTGTTTCCTTGCTGTCCAGGATCTGGGGAAGCATCTGTGGATAGATCAGAAGGAACAGGTCCAGTAGAAGTGTCTGTGTCTGTGAGAGAATATTACAACATCTGGGGAATAACCCTCAGCAACATGAAGCATTCAGCTAATCTTTTAGGGACCTGAACTCTGACCAAGTTGAGATTTATTTATTTATTTATTTATTTATTTATTTATTTTTAGTCTTGTCACAGAAAAGGATTTCAAGACAATTTGAAACAGAGCAGGAGATTGTGAGAGTCACTTTAATATAGACTTTAATAAGCATGAGAGCTAGAAGTAAGAGAGGCAATGAGAAAAGAGTCACCTGAAAGCATGGTTGTCAGCTTCCCTAAGGATAAGCTGCTAAAATAAGACATATCCAAGTATGGGTTCAGGCTCCTCAACGAGAGCCACAAGCAATTGTCCTCGCATTGGCCCTGATGCCATGCTCTCTGGCTCTCTAGAATTACAGCCCATAACATTTTTAAGAAATCATTGCATTTTGATAAGTGAGACTATCAGTTGGCTCTGGAGATGCCTCGGGTGGAATTACAATCTTATAAAGTAAAACCAGGAGCCATTAGGGTTGCACACAGGGTTCAGTACAGGTCCTTTCCCTGTAAATAAAATTTCTGGTCATGTTCCTAGAAAATTGCAGGTTTACAGCTGAAGGGAGAATAGCAGTAGTTAATGACCCTGGAATTCTGCTTCCTTGAGGTCGAGGTCTTATTACAAGATTCATGGATAAGGAACTCTTCTCCCTTTTCATCTTATTATTGTCTCTCTTCCAGATCTGTTTTGGTACCCACTCTAAACCTTAATAATCCATAGAGGACAGACTACATGGAACATTTTCTTTTGAGCAGCTGCTGCACACATCTGGATCTCTAGAGAGGTCACGTATTCTTAGCTGAGAATGATATCTCATGGCTGTCATCCCAGGATGCTGAAGCAAGAGAGTCACAGATTAGAAAGCAACCATGGTGAGTTCTGGCCAGCCTAGGGTATGTGACCAGCAATGCAAACCAGCTGGTCCTCTGTCAGTTACCCGAACGGAGAGATCTTTGTAGTGAGGCTTGGCAGTTTTTCAGCTGCAGTGTGTGGTTCAGCAAGGCTGTATCCTGTTGGATGAGTCTTTCCTGCTGCTCCATGACAAGAGCGGACACCTGGGAGACTGTGAGAAGGGCGAGCATTCTTCAGCAAATATATAATAAAAGTAATCCCCCAGCACAGATCAAAGAAAGCATCAATGAGGGCACAATTTGCCTGGCTTTGGGTTTTTATTTAAAATTTACATTATTCAAAGAATCAAGTGCTACAAATTCCACACTGAAAAAAAAACAAACAAACAACAACAACAAAAAAAAACATGTGGGTCATCGCTTTCTGTTACTCAATCAGCCTCAGTCCCCAAGAGCAGATAAATTTATCAAGTTCTTTTAACAGATATTTTCCAGAGATATTTTAATTTAAAAAATCTATCAATATAAAACTTCTGTTCAGCCTCTTATGCAAAGTGTAGGTAGGAGCCTGTTTCCATGATGGTGAACATTTGATTTTATTACTTAAGTATATTTTAACCTTCATTCCTGTAAGTACACAAAAAGTTCTCACTCATTAACTCATTATAACAGGGAAGCAAATGAGGTAGTCTTACCTCATTTTACACATTAGAAAGCTATTTTTAAAATGAGTGGCTAGATGGAAAGTTTGTGGACATTTAAATTTCATTCAGTATCTCTAAGTTACCTTCCATGTAATGTCATTTTACACAGTGTTTCAAGGTTATCTGCATTTACAGATCTCTTTCTGTTTGAGACTGAAATTCTCTTCACAGACATAAACAGGTTGAATGTATTTTCCTGTCTATGAAATGTGTGATGACAGCCTTTGTAAACACCACACCTTCCATTGGCTTTCTAGTACTTTCTTTTGTTCCCTGGTGCCAGAGTCAGGCTGAGTAATGCACCTGAAGTTCACACAAGGCATGATGCAAGCGAGTTAATGGTGTAGCTTGTAACTGCAGGTCTGAATATTTGGGAACCGCAATGTGACTAACTTGTCAGCATTGTTTATTGATAGCATGCTGGATGGTTTGCCCTTTGTTTTAATGAGACCCTGAGAGATGCCTTCTGCAGAGGCAGGTTTCCTAGTCTCAGCAAAATTGTGTCTTTATGATCAGCAAAACATAAAAATCTCCAAGCAAAACTCTTGGGCTTTTTAATACCACAATATCCTGTGCAAACATCAGCAGTTCCTGAACCAACAGAAAACCGTGTCGTAGTGGAAACAAGCAGGAAAACGTATCTGCCTTATCCATCCAGATACCTGCCACCTCTCCTTTTCCCCTATTAACTTGGGACAGCATCTCATGTATCTCAGGCTGGCCTCAAACTCAACATGTAGCCAAGGGTGACTTACACTTCTGATCCTCCTGCTTCCTTCTCCCATTTGCTGGAAATGCAGGTCTGGGTCACTACTATTCCTGGCTCCTTCCAAGATCCTTCTACTGAGAAGTATCCTTACTTTTTATGGACGTATCCTTACTTCAGTGCTGTTAAGTTGCATTCTTATTGTGTAATGAACTAATCTCTTTACATTTCAATACACTAACACGCTGAGGCCTGATGTTTAGGTCCTAGGAGTCTCTGTCAGCAACCATCACTGTGCCTAGAGATATTTGTTGACCTATCACCTGTTTCAAAGATTGACTTTGGTAAAGCTGTAAGCTACTGTGTACATTTCATTGGACACTGACATAGCTGAAAAATACTTGTCTTACTTGGGACAGCGTCATTTTTATTTTTTGGTTGTATATTCTACATAATAGAAAGGATATATGTTGTGGCATAGAAGTTAGAATGGAAGAAACAATGGAGTTGTTAGCAATGATATTAGTACGGGTCTAGTATTAGTCAGTACTATCAATTTAAAAATTAAAATTATCATTATGCTAAGACTCCTGGCAGTTTTAGTTTTGCATGTGAAACTATAATCTCATGTCTATAGTGGTACATTTACACTTTGACTTAATTGGAATCATTGCCATTGTAACTATGAGGAATTATGTCAATGTTTTCCCAGATGTTTATGCAGTGTTCTGTTGTCATTTAATGAGTAGCTTCCACCCACACTCTCTCCTTCGTATAACTGTCTTTACCTTATGTTTCAGTATTTTGCTATCATCCTTTTCACAATTTTAAAATATATATATATATATATATATATATATATATATATATATATATATATTTCTTCTACATTATCTTCTAGTTCACTGGATTTTTGGTAGTGGTGGTTTTCATTGCTAGATACAATACCCAGAACTCTGTGCTCACCAGGCAAGAGCTCTACTACTAAGCTAAAGCCCCAAACCTTCACCTATTTCTTAGCTAGGTTGATATATTAAACTCTTAGTGTGGGAAGGGCAGGTGACTGCTGTTGCAGATTGTTAAAACATACACACAAGAATAGCTGCCCGCCACACATCTCTATGATTTGAATGGTAGAACCAGATACATCTTCATGCTCACATTCATGTAGCAAGCATCTTCACAATTGAGATAATGGCTCTATCCACCACAAAAGCATCCTGTCTTAATTTTTTAACTAGAATTTTATTCTGAAGCAAGTTTTATATGTAGCTATAAGCCATAATAGATTCCATCAGCTCTCAGCCAACTTCCACCACATGGAACCATCTTTAAAACTGAAGTTCAGTGTCACAACTAGGATATGAACATTGATAACATTGTGGCATGGCATTTCTCCATCGATGTGTAGGTGCAGCAGACTGAGCTTTTATGAAAGTGGTCCATTCCCCTCAATCCTTTACATGCTCTAGTTCAGTGGTTTTGTCATTGTGATGATATTATCGAAATAAGATATTATATTTTTAAGGGTTTTTTTTTCCTCCACTTAGGATGCTTTCCTGGAGATTTACCTGGATAGTTGGATAAATCAATAACTAATTGCAGTTTTATTATTGAAAATATTTCTTTGACCTTAATTACCATATTTATTTAACCAATCATTCACCAAAGGATATCTTTGTTGTTTTGTTGTTTAGGTCTCGAAAATTGAGGTGTTATACACCAGTGTATTGATGTTTTAGTGAATGAAAGTTTCCGATTTTCTGAGATGAGTGTTTGAAGATGCAATTGTTGGGTGGCAAAAAGGTCAGGTTTTAATGAAATCACTGCCCTGTTCTTCCAGGGACTGTATCACTGTTCAGTCCTACCAGGGATGACATCGCAGCCTTTGACCAGGGATTCAGCTTCACAGACCCATCAAACACATGGTGATTTGGATTTTCAGCTTTCTGGTGTATGTAATGTGCCTCACTATGGTTTTAGCTTGTTTTTACTAATGGCTAAAGATATTATACTCTGTTTTCATGCTTGCTTGACACTTCCTTAAATTCTTTGGTGAAATGTGTTGTCATGTCATTTTTCCATCTGCCAATGGAATGGCTTGGTTGTTTGTTGAGTTCTTAAAAGAGTTTATCAACTTTAGGCTCAAGTTATATCACTGCATATGTGGTTTGCAAGTACTTCCTTCTCCCGTCTTGTATGTTCAGCCATTGTTATGTTGAAGTAGGTATATCTCATCAGCTTTTACTTTTATTAATAACTTGTTAAATCTTAGATCTAAGAACTCTGTATATACTTGGAGAAATAATTTTTTCCTTTTTTTGTTTTTGTTGTTGTTGTTTCTACTTTGGTTTCGACACTACCTAGAGTTAGGAGTAGAAAGCTAATATTCTTTATTTTATTATATTAACAACCTGGTACAGATGGTAATTGAAATGTAATAATCTTCTTTTTTGAAACTTGAGATATACTTTTCGTATTCTGATGACCTTTACTGGATGAGCTGTATTTCAAGTCATATCTGCTTTGCTTTTTATACTCTGAATGCCATGGAGTGTGTCGGATGATAATAGGCATAGAACATGGCATGGGTGCATCAGATGGTAACGACAGAGAACATGGCATAGAATTCATTAGATGGCAATAGACAAGAGAAAGGGAGACTTATGCTTGGAGTTTTGCTCTACATAGGAAGCAAATGCTTGACCTTTATTGGTGTTTGAATTGTGATTAATTTTCAACAAATTAGGAATAATGACTGAACAGTGTTGTTTCCTTGGAAATTGTAACCAAATACTTCTACATTTCCCAAACAAAATTACCGAGTATATGATGCTACACACTGTAGCTAAAGGATGAGTTGGAAAAATGAAAATTTACTGAAAGATCAAGAAGAAAACTGATCTCTGTGGAAATATTTTGTACTATAAGATTTTCAAATTGATACTTAATTGGCATATGGCATTAAGGAAAACCCAGAAACACAAGAGGATGAGGGGAAGAGACAAATCTGCACACATTTTGGAAATGACTACTCAAGCAGTGCTGGCTAATATCTAGCTTGTACTTGTTGAAATCCTTGTGTACACATGTGCAGAGTGTCCATGCGTATATGAATATAATTTGTAGATTATCTTTCAAAAACTATAAATCATTTATACTCTATAAATGGATTGTTAACTTTCTGTTTTCGTGGGGAAACACCACATAAGTACATCTCTACAATGATACAGTGGTTTTAGAAAAATAAATTGCATTCTTTTAGGTGATTAATTTTATCAGATTGTTCTATCTCACCATGCGAACTCCCTCTTAATATAAGTCTAAGTGCCTTTATAGCATTTATGTGTACTCAAATAGTTCTTAATTTGTTTATTCATCCATTTGTACATGTGGACTCTTAAAATGATAATAACTAGAATCTGCCCCCTGCCAGGTTCAGCTCTCTAAGGTGCCTCTTCAGGGACACAGGGTATGTCTGATTGGGCTTCTCATCAAAAGCCTGATGTTCCTGTCCCTTTTATAGGGGGAGCTTTGGACACGGGGCCAGTTCAATAACGGGCCAGGTAAGGGTGTCCACTCTGCACATTGTAGAGGGGATATCTTCGGCCCATGGGTCCCTCATTAAAGAAGTTGACTGAATTTGCCTTCATTTAACCAGGGACCTGTCGCACTCCCTCCTGCCTCCCAAAGATGTTTGTGTAATTGTATAACCCCCTCTGTTAACAGTGGCTCAGAAAAGCTTTGTACTAAAAGCATGGAACCCGCACAGCAGTCATTCCCAGGAAACGGGTCCCCTGCTGGTCCATGCCTTGCCCTGTTCAGAGGCCTCTTGGCAGTGCAGCCTGCTTGTGCTGTCCTGCATCCAGTGTGTCAGCCTGGCTAAGTGTGAGAATGGTAAGCCGTTTCCCCTTTGGGTTACTTAGCCACGGCTACTCTTCAGTTCCTTTTTTAAAAATAGCTTAGCTCTCCCCCACCACCACACCACTACACACACAGGGTTTCATGAATCCCAAGCAAGGGCTTGAACTCCCGTTTAACCAAGAATTATCTTGAACTGATCTCCTGCCTCCACCTCCTGAGTGCTGAGGTTACAGGTGTGATTACCTTGCTGACTTATGAGGTGCTGGGGACAACCCAGGGCTTCATGAGTGTTAGGCAAGCATTCTCCAGCCAAGCTACATCCCCAGTCCCTCTTTCTAGAAAACATCATTAGTTAAATACATTCAGGGGAGAAGAGGTCACAGATCAGGCCAGCTGCCCCATCCTTTAGTGCAGGGTCAGCTCCCAAAACCACCCTGCTTTGTAAGCTGGTGATTCTTGCCTGTAATTACCCCAGATCTGCCTAATTCCAAGATGCCATTTAGGAGGTAGGGGTCTGTGACCAGCTATGGGATCCTTGGCCACTTGCTTCATGATTTGATACATTTGTTGTATTCAAAAACTTGACCTGTAGGATGCCATTAAGAGTCTGTTTATATTTTTTGGAATATTTGTATTACAATTGTTAATAAAGGCCGGTTTAAAAACTTAATAATAATAATAATGATAACTATTCGTAACCCATTTACGTTAACAGGTAACGCTGAAGATATGCTTTTGTACTTACACTTGATGCCCAAGAAAATGGATGTTGCTAATAAGCCCACACAGACCACACAGGAAATCACTGTCACAGCACACCATGTTCCTAAATGTGGAATCAGACAATGACATGAGTCAGAGAAAGCAGTTGCAAGGTGAAGGTGATATCAGGATGAATGGAAGAAGGATTGGTCCTTCCTACTGGAGAATGACAAAGATTTGAAACTCTAAGGCAATCTTTGCTTAAATTCTCTCAGATGAACCTATAGTATGGGATATATCTTACTAGGAAAATATCAAATCCAACAGACTTAATAACACCTCTCTCTGATCCTAATATAAACTATTGTGATTTTAAAAAGAAATTCCATTTATCTGTCTGTCTGTCTACCTATCTAGTCTTTTTCAATAATCTCACTAATACCAACCAAAAAATTTTGAATTCTTAACATGAAAACTCTCTTACCTGTTTTCAGCATCTCTTGAACATGATTCATTGAAGTACTTTTAATTTTAATGAGCAACTTAGTAAATGAACAAACATTTCCAGCTAATTTTACAACTTTTCCAGGAAGAAAAGTGAGTGATATGGCTTATTACATTATTCATACTAATAAAAAAATTGCCCTTACATATTGTGATAGGCCTGATAATGTCTTACCTGAGTTGACTCTGAGTCTTGCCTGGAAATTTGAAATGGTGTTTTATGTGACAAGAGATATTCTGAAGCTAATACTGTATTAGAGATCTGATATAGGAAAATTAGCTTCAATTAGTTAATTTGTATCAAGTCAGGACTAAAGACTAATCAATGAAATTACTAGGGAAAAATATAACAAAACACTTCTTAAGCCCATCTAATTACTTGTTGTATGGTGTTATATATGACACCTAGTTGATGAATTAAAGAAACTACAATAAAAATACACAAAAAGTTACCTATTTGAAAATATTTTGTGCTGTAGAGTTGTAAAAATAAAAAGTGGCATAAGATGTAGAAACGACTAAATCAAATACTAAAAACATAACTGCATCGGCATGAAGACATTTTTTCAACATTTCTTACTATTTTTCAGATAATTTGCTGACTGTTTTACATAAAAACTAAAATAATTTAAATAGTATAATTTCTTTTACTTTTTGCAAATTGAGAGGATATATCACATTTCCTGAGCCCGGGGCCCTTCACTTACTCCTCCATGCTGCTGAATGTATCAAGCACAATAGAAAGAATACTCTAAAGAAGTAATCTCAGATTAGGAGAAACACTTGGTTTTACCACAATATACAAACATATATTTACATACATGTAAGATCATAGTTTTCTACTAAGCATTTTTCATTTATTACCTGAGCATTTGCTAGGGGACAGACACTTCTGAGAGGTCTCTGAGGTAGGAATGTCCCACTGAAGAGAAGTATATATTTCTTCCTCATGCATGCTGAAGGTACTTGGAGAGGTAGAGCAGTCTATATAGGACCCTGACATGAAGAACGTTGGTTGTAGTTAGGAGTAGGTTGGTACAAGAAATGCAACTGGCTGCCTTTTCACAGTAGTAAAATGCAACGGGGATTAAGGTGCATTATCATCCAGAAAGTGGAACTTCTGAAGCTTAAACTGAAGCATAACTCCATAAATGAAGAAATGAGAATTACTGAACTCAAAATAGCTACAATCAAATTATACTGTTGCTCTGATTTCTACATGGGAGCAGATGCTAAAGATGAGGTGCACCATGTAAACTTTAGTTTGGTATAAGATATGAAACACAAAGATGATGCAAGGAATAAAGATGAAGGCCGTTAAATCTAGGCAAACCAACTTGTACATAGCTTTTGGATTTCCAAACAAAAAAGCTTGGGAGAGATTTCACCCCTAAATTTATTTTCAATCAGTCTGTTGATTAGGGTAATACTGACTGTTACTATAAGTAAACTTCAAAATACCAGTCAACACTGGCAACATTTAGATCTCACTCATGGTTTGTTCCCAGAGATACTAGTTAGTGGAGAGCTTTCTCCAAAAAAGGACCTGAGTTTCTTTCATCTTCTGGAATATTAAAGCCATTATGGAAAAGGGAGAGAGAAGGTGAAGAACCCACACTTGCTTCTTGAAAGCCATAACCTGGGAGTGCTGGGAATCACAGCCGTCTCTATTCATTGCATTTCCATACTGGACATGAAGAGTTCCATACTGAGTTTTCCCAGGGAAGCATCATCAAGAGGTAACTTTGCTCGTGGAGAAGGAATCAATTATTTAATGGATGGATGACCGTTTTCATCACATCCTGTGACTACAGCATTGGTACTGAGAAATTTGATCTCTTAGACATCATTTATCTCCAGGTCACTTGTCTTTATGTCCTAAGGTCATTTCGTAATAATATATAGTCAATACAACTTGCAAAACTGCATGTTCTTTTATTTTTTTAGAGTCTCACTGGATCAATCATTCTTCATCACAAATGGCACACTCAAGAGGTGATGTAAGGGAACTCACTAATAGGGCTACAGGTTTGGAAAAGGTTAATAGGAAAGGAAGAAGGGGATCAGTGATGACATACGTACCGCAGGGCTGATGTCACTGTATAGCCTAAAGCAGTAAGGAGAATGTTTACTAGGACTTGGTGGTCTGCCTCACTAGAGGGAAGGGCTGGGATACAGAACATCAAGCTTTATCAAACCAAGACACATAGGGGGTCTGAATTATACCTCTGACCATACCCCATGTGTCTCAGAGGCCGAGATTGCCCAGAAAATGTATTCATTTGTGTTTAACTTTCTGAGATACAAGGAGTAACTGGTGGGATCATTCGAGACAAATAAAAAATGACCAGCACATTCTGTCAACACTCCTGTGGCATTCCTGTGAAAACAGAGTGACTGAACTCCAGATAACCCTCTGCATATGCTAGACTCTACCAAGGGGAGAAAAGAGGAAGACACCACACCACCAAATAATATTGTAACTAACCTCAGGAGCCAGACTCCATCAGCTGCTACTCGTTTTCCAGTCTCTCTTCTCATTTTAACAGCACTGAAACCAAAGCTTGAATAGATCCAGTGTTTTTCCAGGACAATCCACTCTCTGGGAAATTTTTGTGAGGGAGCCGATGGTTTCTCCCAACAAAAGATTCATACGCTACATGTAGTGTCCTACTCTTGTCTGTTTTAAATATTTACTGTTTATTATTCATTGAGTTCTTGACAACTATTTTGAAGAGATCATAGTATTACTTCCTTACTACAGTTCTGTGAAGCGGGAGGGTAAGTTGGTTCTAACTCACGGCACAGAGAAGTCCGTTTAGCTAGTCTCATGCTGAGTGTTTGAAATGGAGAGCTCCGATCATAGAATCCGGATTATTTTCACTTTGCTATATGCTTCAGGCACGAGTACAAGGGAAAAAGAGACTTTGTAGGTACAGTTTGATTGTTGTAGGTACAGGTTGGTCTCACCTTCTGTGTATGTTTAACTGGGCATTAAATGTGTTCCCTCTAAAGCTGTGTGTTATAGTAATAAATAAATATGCTGAAGAGTTGAAAAACACTAATGTTCAGACATAGGATTGATAGTTGGATAGTTTCTGAATTATTAGTCCCTACTTGTTTTGTATAAATAGACAGTTTCATACCAGAAGTTCAGCATTGAATCCTCATCTCCAAAGGGGGGGGGGGAACCAAGACTTTCCATCTTGCAAGACCAATATCTTGTTATTTAAAATAAAAAAGCCAAATAAATTCTGTTGTTTTTCTGTAGCTCAGAAATCTATTCCCTTACGGACAGTCTAAAACAAACCAAAGTGCAGATTTGCACGTCTGTGCACAGAGCTATAAAACTAACGTTTTTAGTATCACACAGTTGATACTCTGACCAATATTTTATATAATTACATCAAAGATCATCACAATTCTCTTCTGGATAGAGTAATCGGCTCACTGTGTAGACAAGGAAATGATGCTAGAGACTAAACCACAGAGGGAGGGAGTGCTATATCAATGTTTATTGAAAGGACTTAAGAGTGGACTGCTTACAACAGGGTCACAGGGAGTGTGTGTTAAAAACACAGGTTTCCCTATCTCCTCAGCCTTCTGAGTTCCATCTATCTTCGTGCTTGAAAATGTTTAGTTTCCACGAAGTCCTCAGCTGAGATAAACTGTATTCATGACACTGTTTTCTCACTAGTTAAACAAAGGAAGCTGTGGGGGATGGCTCAGGAAGAAAGCATGAGTTTTGTCTCTTATCCTGTTAGAGGTGCCTTCCTACGGGCCCTATAAATAACTTCTGGGTTATTCAGCAAACACCAAACATAGAACTGTCAGGAAAAGAACCAGATAAAAAAGAATTCTGCTTCTTCTTCTGCCTTCTGGACACTCTGCTTCATCAAGAAATAGTTTATGTTTTCGCCATCCCTGTGAGCTCTCTCTCCAATCCAGTTTCCTTGTGTGGTATGGAGGTGACACTGTTGAGTGTGAAGAGAGTGAACTGGAGAGAGTGAGCTGTTCTCTCAGGAAGAAAAGCACATAGTTTCTCACGAGTCAGGGCCTGCTTGGCACTGGTCATAGACAATGAACAAGGAAGTTAGGCACTGTTTCCATGGCATTTCTGCAAGAGTTAGTACTCATAAGTTTTCTTGTAAGCATGTAAATTATGAAAAAAGTTTGAATCGTATGGTCATTGTATAGATATCATAAAAGTCAGAAGTTTATTTTTGCTGAGGTATATATAAGATAGGCAATATTATTCCATTTTATTTCATTTTAGTATTTTCATATAATTATAGAAAATATACTTTATATAATTTCACATTTATTCATATAGTTCAATCTATCTAGTATTTTCATATCATAAATATATGCATATACACACTTTGGTTTATCCTCCAGCCCCAAACCATCCTATTTTAAGTGTGATAAAATAGAAATTAAACAAAAGAGAAAGTTGTCTCATTGACCAGGCACGTGACTTTAATCCCAGCATTTGGAATACAGAAGAAAGCTCCTTGTCTACATAGTGAGTTTTAGGACAGATAAGCTCCTGTCTCAAAAATAGATAGATAGATAGATAGATAGATGATAGATAGATAGATAGATAGATAGATAGATAGATAGATAGAAAGATAAAAATAAAAATAATTGCTTCACGGTTGCCTTTCAGTTATGGGGTCATAGCATTTAAACTATTGTACAGATTTCAATACATACTATTTCTGCTATCCCATGGTGTCTTTCTTAACTTAGATATTTTGCAATGTTAATTCACTTAGGCTCTAATTTAATTTTAGTTTTATGTGTGTATATTTGAAGATTCAATGGATTGCAACAAGCTAAGAAAACTAAGGAATGGATGATAAAAAGAAAGTTATTGGAAAAGCTAGAGATCTACTCACATTCTGGTTTTTTAATATACAGAGAAAGGATCAGACCCATGGTATAAGGATGAAATAAAAACAAAATAAGCGCTTTTATGAATGCAGAATTATTTTGTCCAGAGCTTTTATTGCATGATCAAGCACTTATCTGACATCTTGTCCATCCTTCTGTACTAAAGCAGTTGGTCCACTCTTGTCATGCCAGCAATTCTCTCACATATTAAGGAATGTCTCTCTTTACAGGAAGCTGGATGGACTTTTCCATTATGAAGATAAGCACAATTCATGTTTTCTTCTGTATTTCCAGAAAGATCAATCCTACAATTTTTTTTAAAAAAAAGATGCATATTGCATGATTTTTAGAAATACAAATATATAAGGAAGCAAAGGACACGAATGTTTTGTTCATCAAATTAGAGTCTTGAGGTAAAGAAACAGCATTCTCGTCTTTGAGAAACTCTGTCTGCTTCTGAGTATACAGTATGCCATATAAAAAGCCCAGTAACAATTTAATACAGTGTAAGTCAAGGAGAAAGTCAGTGCTAAGTACCTAGGGGTCTAGAGGATCAGGCACATCATAACCTGACATGTCAAGCAAATCTTTATCTACAATTTACCTTGGGCCAGTATTGAAAGAAGAGTAGGTTTAAAATAAGCAGAGAGGAAATGGGAAGTTCTTATAGAGTCAGCAGCTAGCTGTGCAACATAGGGAAAATCTCAAGGAAACGTAAGGTGGCTAAATACTGCAGAGCTGAGATGTAGCAGCACCAGGTAATAGAGTTACGCTAGACTATGCCATGGTTACTGTCCATGAGTTTGCCTCTATTCTCCGAATCACTGTTTACAATGACAAACAAGGAAAATATACTAAGTCTACTTGCCAGACACCTATAGATGCCAACTAGCTAGCAAATGATTGAGATCTATTTTGTTTTACAACCCAAATTCCAGGGAGGAGAAATTGGTTAAGATGTTCACAGATAAGCAGACAGGAAAGTGGCAGAAAGTAGTAAGAACTGTGAAGAAATAAAAATAAAACACTGAAAACAGAGCCCATGTGTGCTGAAAGGTGCCAAAGGGGATAAGT